TCTCTGAAGAAAGAAATTAAATTACACAAACTGACTTTGAATAATGGGTACCCAAATTAATGCCCAAGATTTTGCCTTTTTCCTTCAATGTGTGTGTGTGTGTATGTGTGTTGTGTGTTTATAAAAATGAAATTAGACCCATATTTATCACCTTCCACAAAACTAACTTCAAATAGATCAAAGTCCTAAATTCAAAAATTAAAAAACAGAAACTTATACAAGAAAGTATAGGCAGATTTCTATATGGTATCAGCACAGGAAAGAACTTCTGAATAGAAATTCATTTACCCAAGAATCAAAGCCAATTATTAACCAGTGGAACTTCATTAAAACTAAAAGGCTCTCAGACAGTTAAAGACAATCAATTGGGTTAAGAGGAAACCCAAAGATTAGGATGAATATTTGCCAGGTAATATCTAAGAGAGAAATAATATCCAGAATATACAAAGAGTTCAAAAAACAAAGAATAAAGATAAAGCAAACAAACAGCATAGTTCATTCAAAAAATTAGCTTGTGATCTGAAAAGATATCACAAAATAGAACAGAAATAAAAATAACTGAGATATATCTTTAATAATTTGTCATTCCTAGCAATTAGTGATAGAATTAAAATAACTTTGAGATTTCATATTATCCCAGTGAGAATGGCAAAGATCAATGGAAAAACTGAAACAAATGCTGGGAAGGATGAAAAGAAAAGATAAATCTCATTCTCTGTTGGGGAACTGTAAACCAATCTAGTCACTCCAGAAATCTACATAGAGAATCAAATAAAGCTACAAAATAAATATGACAAAACTACTCCATTTCTTCCATATGCCTCAAAGACTCAATCAACAGCCTACTCCACAGATACTCGAACGTTCAGTCATATTCATTGGAAACAACCTAAGAGTCCCACAATGGATGAATGGATAATTAAAATGTTGCACATATACATTATGGAATATTATTCAACTATAAAGAAAAAAGTCATTTGAACATAATGAATGGAACTAGAAAAGATCATATTGGATGAGGTAACCGAGAACCTGAGAGACAAACATCATATGTTCTTCCTCATCAGAAACTCCTAGCTCCAAATCCACATTCAAGTGTATAACCTGGAGTAACTGCAGAAACCAAAAACGTATAAAGAAATCATTGTGGGGGAAGAGAAGCAATAGATAAGGGAATGGAAGGGTAAAAGTGATCTGAAGTGGAAAATACGGGCTGTAATTAAGTAGAGAGTGGGAGAAATATAGTAAAAGGAGATTGAAGAGTAAAGTAACTGTATAGATGTCTGAAATGTGTAGGCAATCATATATATTATTAACTATTTAATTGAAAATTCCTATAGTACATATAACTCTGTATATGTGTAGACCATATACATACGTATATAATATTTTAATGAAATTTCTCATTTATGCTGACAGTGTTCTCCCCAAGAGCCATAGACTAGCAAAGAAAGAAAAAGGAAAAAAAGAAAAATATCAGCCATGAAACACTGTCTTTTGAGTTGTTGCTCAGCGTTGTTCAAGAGACTCCCAAAACTTTTAGGCTATTGCTGTTGCCCTTGATCTTCACCCAGAGGCAGAAGAAGGTAAGTCCCTATTATACTTTGGACAGAAGATCCAGAGGACCCAAGCTGGATATGGCATGTATGCACACTCTCTGAAGACTAGCTTTAGGCAACATAGAAGCTTCCAAAGCAGGAAAGCAACCAATAATCCTTCCCAGCTATGATGCCTATGAACCACAATAATGACAACCATGGCACAATAACCCTACAATTACAGTAATCATACACATATCCTGAGAGTAACCAATAGTTCTCTGACCAAACTTAAAGCCTGTTCAACAAGAAAAACATTGTCCCTGGTACTGGAAAACTATCGAACTACTTGGTGCTAGTGAAGTCACGGGTACTGGAGGAGAACCTACAACTATCACTTTACTAAGGCAGCATAATCACTAACTACATTATTATTGTCTTTATACCCAAAGATCAGCACAGTTCTCACTCCTCATCAGGGAAACTACTCTTTGAAACATATGAAGATTAGTACAGAAAACCACAATAGATCAAAATACAGACTTGAGGAGTTTAGTGACAAGTGATACACCTAAAACACAACTCTTACACCTAAGGCCTAGGGATCGTTTAGGAAGAGGAGTTGAAAAGATTGTATGAGTCAGAAAAAACAGCAAGTTTTCTGTAAGGTTGTGTCTGCTATAAATGCCAGACATGTAGCTACACACATGAAGCCTCACCAACATGTCTGTCTAAACATGAACTGAACAAGAATGACACCAATAGACATTAATGTGAAAAGGAGAAAGCTCAGGAGGCATCAACCCTAACATAGAACTACAGGTAACTAAGGAATGCTGAGATTAAGAGAAATAGACTTCCTCAGGGAAGAGTATACTAACTGGTTATCCAGTATCAAATGGCTAACCCTGAAAATGTATGCATACAAGTCATATTATATGGATGGATTGGGCTGCATTTATATATTATATTTAGAAATATATTTATATATGTATACAAATGAGTACATATATAACAATTCAAAGAGATTGTGAATTTTAAAGAGACCAAGAGAGGTATGTGGGAAGGGTTGGTGAAAATTGGAGATACTCGTAAGGAATGTCTCTGATGCTGGTCTTGGAATAAGGGGAACCCCATTTAGGTTTTCTCTGTCTAAACATGAGAGGACCTTCTCACGCAACTCCAGGAGATCTCAGGCATGGGCTTGTAGGCAAATGAGCTGTTGCAACAATAGAAATTCATTAGTTGGTTAAAAAAATACAAATGCATCAGTGTCATGAGAAACTCGGAGATCTATACAGCCATCACCTTCCCCACTGAGCTCACTGCCAGGGAGATGCTGAACCTTTTAACTTAACCTGAATCAGACATGCCTCTGTTCTTTTTCGGCCACAGGAGTTTTCCTAAAAGCATCCATAGTCAAATGATCAGTGTTGAATGCTATTCTACAAAACTCAAGTAGGAACTGATTGGAAGGCCATGATCTGTCCCTTCTGACTTCCTGACCATGTTCCATAACCACTGAAGGAGCTCTGAGCAAGGACAGGAGAAAACCAATAGCAAGCTAAATGAACCTAATCTCATAGCTCAGCAGCCTGCACTCATGGTTAAGACAGCAACATTTCAAGCTCCCAAAACAGACATTTCCTTTGATGTGTGTCAACAAAATGTTCAAATTGTTATCTTATTCTAACATAAAGTACACTTTCCATCTCTCTTATAATTCATGTTGGAGATTCTTATTCTCCTCTTCTACATATATTTCAAAATGATTCCACTTGCATGTCCTTCCACTGCTTTTTTTTATATTATAGTTCATTTCCACAATGTGAAAAGCTGCCCATGTGAAATAAATACTTGGTTCCAAAATTATGGCTCCAAGGATTCAAAGTGAGCGGATCATGAGTGCTCTGACTCAATTACTAGATGTATCCATTGCTGTGTCATAATTAAATGGCATTATCGGGAGCTTGCGGAAAGTATGAAGTCAGTGCTAACTGAGGAACTAGAGGAATGCTTCTAAAGACTGTGTCCAGTCCCTGGCTTCCTCCTACCTCCCTTGGCTTCTCAGCTGCCATAAGGTAAGCATCTTTCCCCTCTCATGCCCTTCTGCCATGGTATTCAACCTCAGCCTGGCATAGCTGTGTTTCTAGGCACAACCACATCATGAGTGTTTGGAGACATTAATTCCCAAGTACATATCTTTAAGGTCTTTGGAGATCTCCAGCAATTTCATGTAGTCTGTAACGCACTTGCTCCCTGCTGTTGTTGCTCAATAAGTTTCTTAATCAGAGCGCTGATGAGATTAGTCTGCTAATTCTTTACACAGGAGCACAAAGGATTGTCCTCTAAAACCACTAAATTCTATTATTCGATATGTGATGGAAAGACTGGAGAGCAGCACATGCTAACACAACATTACATCCAACATTAGAATGCAGAGAGGGTACCTGACCTCCACAGTTGGAAAGCAGATGAGGGGTCTTCAGAGGGAGATGTGGCCCCAGAAACATGGGCAACAAATATCACATTTTCATTCCTTTGTGGATCCTAAATATGTTGTGTGTTAAGTCTGTGTGTGCACATATATAAGTGTGTATGTATATGTATCTCTTTATGCATGCATGATCTTATATGTGCATGCTTGTGTGTATTTGTGTATGTGGATATGTGTGTGGTATATGTGTACAAATGTGTGTATGTACTTATGTATATATGTATGTCTCTGATAAAAATACAAGACATTACATGGATAATGTAAAAATGTGTAACAGCAGGAAAGGGAAGAAGAAATGAGGAAGATCAATAGATATGGTCAAAATTATAGTGTACTTGAAAGACACTGCTTTTATGGTGTTTGTTTTCAATGAATATACATTAATAAAGAAAATTAATGTGAAGCAAGATTGCTCAGAGAGCAAAGACTCTTGCCACAAAGCTTTATGTCAGACCTGAGATTTATCCCCAGAACCCATATCACAAAAAGAAAGACTCATGTCCAAGTTGTCCTCTGCCTGTACTTGTGCACCTACACACATATAAACATGCATGCTTGCATGCACAAAAAATGTAATTAACTAAAATGTAATTTAAAATTAAGATAATTTATAAAAATGGAAAGAAAAAACTTGAAAAATATTCAGCAGTAAAGAAGTAGAAAGTCCTATAGAAGCTAAAAACAAAAGAAATTTTCCTAGAGCAGCAAGCTGAAGTGAATTTTGCCTACATCATCACTTCAGCCAATAGAGTCATATGTTGGACACCAGAACTCGAGTACCATAAAAATACTAATCTCTAATATTGAAGCAACAGAATTTGTGGTAATGTATTACAGAAGGACAGAAAGATAATACTGGGTTCTTTCCTGCATTTTTCCGTATATAAGTTTTTCATACCGAAAGACATAAGAGACATTGAACCCATGATGTTTTACTTGGCTCAGCAAACTTTCACATCAGGGCTTCAGGCACACCAGCTCTCAGGCAGAAGGGGGAAGTGCACACATCCAGGGCTGTGTGTGGTGCAGGCAGCTGGTGAGACTCTCAGCTGACGCACTGTGGGAGGATAACTGTGTAGCTGCAGACAGTAGTAATCTGCCAGGTCCTCAGCCTGGACACTGCTGATGGTGAGAGTGAAATCTGTCTCAGACCCACTGCCTGTAAAGCGATCAGGGACCCTAGTGTCCCGAGTGGATGCCCAGTAGATCAGACGTTTAGGAGCCTGTCCTGGTTTCTGCTGGTACCAGTACAAGTAGTTCTTGTTATTGCTGCCATACAGACTCTGACTGGACTTGCAGTTGATGGTGACCTTTTCTCCTGCTGACACAGCCAGGGAGGATGGAGACTGGGTCATCAAGATGTCCCCACAGATACCTGTGATCATGAAAGGACACTGAATAACACAGAAACACAAACACACATTATGACAGTTAATTTGTCATTTAATGTCCTTATAATTTCATATTGTCAAAGTATTATTATGTAAGAAATATTATGCCCTGACCCTGAAATAATTATAATATTTTTTAATTTCTCACCAGACACCCAGAGCAGCAGGGACATGAGAACTTGATTTTGTGACTCCATCTTGCTCCCCCTGCTATATGATGCAGTTCTCACTGGAAAGCCCTGGTTTATAAATTCTGAGCAGCTGGGCTGGGCTGGAAGGGCTCATGCAGAGCAGTCAGCAAATACAAAAGCAAATGCCTAGGGAGTTTGTGTGACAGCAGCTGGTGTCAATAAACAGGCAAAAATACCATCACAGAGAGCATGAGCAATCACTGAAAGGGATCCATTTACAGCATTTCCAAGAAAAATCTACTAGGTGCTCTAATAACAGCTGTGGGTTAAAATCCAAGACATATTTAAATCAGGAATGTGAGGAGTGCTATCTCAGATTGTCAGTCCTAGGGAAATCATAAGATATGCTCTCAAAAATTGCAACAACAAATTAGGAAACAGAGTAAGAAGACATGCAATAAAAGAAGGGAGAGAGATGGGGGAGGAGGGGTATTGGGTCAAAATTTGTTATCACCCATCTGCAAAGCCACTCTTACATTGAGGACAATGAACAGTGTCTCAGACATTTGGCCTCCAGTTTCAGGATAAGTATAGGACAGAGATGCAAAGAAAAACCCAGAAATCGCTCTGTGGAAATCATGGGGGTCATGAATTTAAGCCTGGGATCAGAGAAGCTTTAACCTTGAAGCAAAGATAAACCCAGAAGAAACTAGCAAGTATCATCCCCACCACTTTGATAACTGAAAGATGCCTCTAAACTTGGGGAAATGGAAGGGAAATAAAAGAAACCAAATGTATTGTGGGACTGGGAAACAAGTGGTAGGAATAAAAATTGTGTCATCTCTGCTGTATGATGTTCTGTATGTCAAATTGTTGCTGATTGGTCAATAAATAAAACACTGATTGGCCATTGGCTAGGAGGAAGTATAGGCGGGACAAGGAGGAGAATAAAGCTGGGAAGTGGAAGGCTGAGTCAGAGAGATACTGCCAGCCGCCATGATGACAAACAGCATGTGAAGATGCCAGTAAGCCACGAGCCACATGGCAAGGTATAGATTTATGGAAATGGATTAATTTAAGATATAAGAACAGTTAACAAGAAGCCTGCCATGGCCATACAGTTTGTAAGCAATATAAGTCTCTGTGTTTACTTGATCGGGTCTGAGTGGCTGCTGGACTGGCAGGTGAGAGAGATTTGTCCTGACTGTGGGCCAGGCAGGAAAACTCTAGCTACACATCTCCTTTAAAAAAAAAAAAGGAGCCGGGCGGTGGTGGCGCACGCCTTTAATCCCAGCACTCGGGAGGCAGAGCCAGGCGGATCTCTGTGAGTTTGAGGCCAGCCTGGACTACCAAGTGAGTTCCAGGAAAGGCGCAAAGCTACACAGAGAAACCCTGTCTTGAAAAACCAAAAAAAAAAAAAAAAAAAAAAAACCAAATTTCTCCAAGAAGTCATGGCTGTAGACAAACACTGCCAAGAGTGTTTATTCCAGAAATGCGTATTCCTTGGTAATTTAGAAATTAGCTATATTGAAATGAGTCAAGGTGGTCTTGCTGACATAGTGAACAGATAAAAACTTTGCCAGAAGGGGGCATAGCCATCCCAAATCAAGCAATAATTTTACAAAGACCAATAGACCACAACATCATAGATTTTTGCCATCCAAAGGAAAAAATATTTGTGTATGAATGAAAATCAATAGCGATAACAGAAATCAAAGAACCTTCCAAGATTCAGAGTACTGAATTATAAAATATATATAAGAAGTACATTATAGACCCAGTACTCTGTGTAAAGTACAACAAACAAAAATAAATAAAATATCATGATAAGGAGTTGAGATTCACATCTATAATCCCAGAACTGGGGAGACAGTAGCAAGAGGACCATTAGATTAAAGCTAGCCTGGGGTACACAGCAAGTTCTAGGTAAGTCTCTGTGATTTCCTGTTTTCATCAATCCTGTAGTGTCTGGAAGACACTGTTTCCTTGATGTCATCCATCCCTCTAACTATCACAATCTTTCCCCCTCCTCTTCCACAGAGATCCATGAGCCCTCAAGGAGGAGTTTGATGAAAACATTCCCTTTATGACTGAATGTTCCAAGGTCTACCACTCTCTGTACCTTGTCTACTGGTGATTCTCTGTATAAGTTCCTATCTACTGCTATAAGACGCTGCTTTGATGTAAGCTAAGCAAGACACTGACCTATGGGTATAACAGAATGTCATTAGGTCATTTCATTGCTGTGTTCCCTTAGCAGAAATAATATCTAGATTTCCATTGGGTCCATAACCTATCTAGTCTCAGGTTCTTGATCACCAGAGCAATATCAGGCATGGGTTGTATCTCATAGAGTAAGCACTGAATCCAATTACATAGAAGTTGGCTATTTCCACAACCATTCTAGATCACAGGGTTTATGGCTGGGTTGGTGGTCACCTCTCTCCTCTGGTAGAATGCAGATTATCTTTCAGCATCATGAACACTAGTCAGTAGGAGTGAAAGCTCTAGTTGGGCACCAGCTCAATTTCTCCATGTTCAATGAGATATGTAAGGGATAAAAGAGAGGAATAAGAGAAAGAATATAGGGAGGGACAATTAACACTAAGAGCCATTTGAGAGATCATATGGAAACCTACTTCAGTAGAGACTTCCTTAACATGTAAACATGTGAAAGAAACCTAAGTGAAAGCAGCAAATAACAAAGGTTTGTCATACCTCAACTGGACATCTTTCACTACCATGTGAAACCTCCAGTGTCAGGAATGGGTTACATCTTAATAAGTTGTTGCTCAGAGAGTCCCCATGAAAACCCCAAACAACTCTGTCTGTTGCTCGCTCTCCACAGACTGGTGACAAAGACCTATCGCTGAACACACTTGTTTCTTTTTTTTCTAAGTTTTTTTTAAATTTTATTTTATTTTATTTTACAATACAATTCAGTTCTTCATATCAGCCACGATTCCTTTGTTCTCCCTGCACCCCTCCTCCCCTTCCCCACAACCTACCACCTATTCTCACCTCCTCCAGGGCAAAGCCTCCCCTGAGGACTGAGATTAACCGGGTAGACTCAGTCCAGGCAGGTCCAGTCCCCTCCTCCCAGGCCGAGCCAAGCAACCCTGCATAGGCCCCAGGTTTCAAATAGACAACTCATGCAATGAACAAAGGACCCGGTCCCACTGCCTGGATGCCTCCCAAAGAGATCAAGCCAATCAAATGTCTCACCCATTCAGAGGGCCTGATCCCATTGGGGACCCCTCAGTCATTGGTTCATAGTTCATGTGTTTCCATTAGTTTGGCTATTTGTCCCTGTGCTTTATCCAACCTTGGTCTCAACAATTCTCGCTCATATAAACCCTCCTCTTTCTCACAAATTGGACTCCTGGAACTCCATCTGGGGCCTAGCCATGGATCTCTGCATCCAGTTCCCTCAGTCAATGGATGGGGTTTCTAGCATGACACTTAGGGTGTTTGGCCATCCCATCAACAGAGTAGGTCAGTTCCGGCTGTCTCTCGACCATTGGCAGCGGTCTCTTGTGGGGGTATCTTTGTGGGTTTCTGTGGGCCTCTCTAGCACTTTGCTTCTTCCTATTCTCATGTGGTCTTCATTTACCATGGTCTCCTATTCCTTGTTCTCCCTCTCTGTTGTTGATCCAGCTGGGATCTCCCGCTCCCGCAAGCTCTCTTTCCCTCGACTCTCGTCCTTCATTACCCCCACTCACATCCAGATTGTTCATGTAGATCTCATCCATTTCTCCATCATTGGGTAATCCCAGTGTCTTTCTTGGGGTCCTGTTTTCCAGGTAGCTTCCCTGGTGATGTGAGTAGCAGTCCAGTCATCCTTGTTCCACATCTAGTATCCTCAATGAGTGAGTACATACCATGTTTGTCTTTCTGAGTTTGGGTTACCTCATTCAGGATGATTTTTTCTAGATTCATCCATTTGCCTGCAAATCTCATGATGTCATTATTTCTCTCTGCTGAGTAGTATTCCATTGTGTATATGTACCACATTTTATTTATCCATTCTTCATTTGAAGGGCATCTAGGTTGTTTCCAGGTTCTGGCTATTACAAACAATGCTGACATGAACGTAGCTGAACAAGTGCTCTTGTGGTATGATTGGGCATTTTTGGGTATATTCCCAAGAGTGGTATAGCTGGATCTTGTGGGAGATTGATTCCCAATTTTCTAAGAAAACTCCATATTAATTTCCAAAGTGGTTGTACAAGCTTGCATTCCCACCAGCAGTAGAGGAGAGTTCCCCTAGCTCCACATCCTCTCCAGCATTAGGTGTCTTCAGTGTTTTGATCTTAGCCATTCTGACAGGCGTAAGGTGGTATCTCAGAGTCGTTTTGATAATTAGGGATGTTGAGCAATTCCTCAAATGTCTTTCAGCCATTTGAGTTTCCTCTGTTGAGAATTCTCTATTTAGTTCTATAGCCCATTTCTTAATTGAACTGTTGGGCATTTTGATGTCTAATTTCTAGAGTTCCTTCTATATTCTGGATATCAGTCCTCTGTCAGATGTGGGATTGGTGAAGACCTTTTCCCATTTTGTAGGCTGTTGCTTTGCCTTGTTCACTGTATCCTTTGCTCTAGAAAAGCTTCTCAGTTTCAGGTGGTCCCATTGATTGATTGTTTCTCTCAGTGTCTGTGCTACTTGTGTTATATTTAGGAAGTGATCTCCTATGCCAATGTGTTCAAGACTACTTCCTAATTTCTTTTCTATCAGGTTCAGAGTAGCTGGATTTATGTTGAGGTCCTTGATCCACTTGGACTTAAGTTTTGTGCACGGTGGTAGATATGGATCTATTTGCAGCCTTCTACATGTTGATATCCAGTTATGCCAGCACCATTTGTTGAAGATGCTTTCTTTTTTCCATTGTGCACTTTTGGCTTCTTTGTCAAAAATTATATGTTCATAGGTGTGCAGATTAATGTCAGGGTCTTCAATTCGATTACATTAATCCACATGTCAGTTTTTATGCCAGTACCAAGCTGTTTTTATTACTGTAGCTCTATAGTAGAGCTTGAAGTCAAGGATTGTGATGCCTCCAGAGGTT